GGCATTAGTCTGTCCTCCTGAAAAACAAACTGGACAAAAATAAGTCTTCAGCAAGTATATCATCACAGAAGTGCTAATATCAGCCTTCAAGTAGTCTAATAGGTCAAACTCTAAGTCCTGTCACACCCTGTGTCTGGCTTGTTTAACGCCTGTTTGGCTGCTGCAGAGGATTAGGATGCTCCCAGCACTCCAACTCCACCCATCAATGGAAAACAATCATAAAAATCGGAAGCAGCCCGTCCAAGGCCGCTGTCCCATGAAAGGGCCTGCAGTGCGTATCCGATGGCGATTATCTCCTCCGACAGGCCGCCCGGCCGGGGAACTGACTACAGGGCTGAAGTAGAGGCAGTGAGGGGGGGCGGAACGTATCTGTCCTGTCAAGCCGGTTGAGCTACAGCACCATACGGGTCTGTTTAGGCCTAAGCGTGGTGGAGGGGAACTGTATCGCAATCTTAGCCCTTCCTATTTGCCCCATGGTATCCTCCACTAATGCTTACCAGATGGAGGTGAAGATGGGGAAAGCGCCGCTAACAACTTTGACAGATTAATTTATGTTCAGATGGAACTTTATACTGTCCTGTACAGGGATACCACTAACTTTTATATATATATGAAAAAACACCAGTTGGAGGTGGATGATCCAATTTTTCTGTCATACTTCTTGTGTATATGAGAAGCTAAAATAATACAGAAAGAGCTGCTAGCGTTTCTCCATCTGTCTTCCCATGACCAGCAGCGTTCGAAATTTGCTACAACAGCACTGATGTTGTTCCTTTTGTTGCAGATATCTGGTACCAGAACCTATTCAGAGATAGTTACTTACAGAGAGGCGACAAATTAAAAGAAAACATGTGTTATACAGTGTTGAACATCACTTTGCATACACTTCGTGGCAGCCTTGAGTTTATCCTATAACTCTGTATTTGCTATTTTGGAGTCATTAAGGCCCCGATGTGCCCGATAGAGTGGGGCATTGTCGCCCTAGAAGAGACCATCAGGGTAGAAATGTGTCATCATAAGATGAAGTTGGTCACTCAGAACATGTTTGTCAGGTTTTTTCCTTTAATTTGTCACACATTTGTACGTAATCTGTTCATTTGACTGTTTATGTGCAACATGCATGTATTTCCCATTTTCCGTTCTCCACAGATCTTCTGAAGTCACATCTCATATTTTCTTGACATTTATATGATAAGCATTTATTACAGCTTTTCTGACATAAAGAAGAGGTGAATTCCTAACCTTATTAATTGCGGTTTAATGCGACCTGCGGGACGAACCCATTCGGTGGATTTAACTGTAAAACTGTTCATTGACTGTGACTCAGAGCTGTGTTCAGCCACGCTTTCCCACCCAGGAATTAAAATAAGCATCAGCTGAGCACGATGGACCATCTGGGCTCCCATTGATGTCAAAGCTGGCACTGACCCAGGGCCCCGGGTCCCACAGGGAGGACCTTGGCAGGGTCAAGCACTCGGGCCTTTTCCTTCCTGTTCTTCTATGACATCTTCCTGCCTGGGGGGCCTCGGGGAGCCATTGAACGGGGCCCCGCCGGGCCCTTGGAGCTGCAGGATAAGCTCACACAGCAGCTTCTAATTACGCTTTAGCACTGACAGGTGGAGAGAAACTGGAGGGTTGGGATGCTTTATGCAAGTGTGCAGTTATTTGTGCCGCCCCCGAGGACGACGAGTGCAATAACTTTTTTCCAGAGGGGTGTACCTCCAAACATCACTTCAGGGGTGATTTAAAGGATTCAGTTCAGTCATAACCGTGTTGTCAAATGTTTAAAATCTGCGATACATCAGCACATAGTTGGCTGTGACTTTTGAGTGGTTTTGTGAGGAACGGTTGTGACAGAAATACTGCCTCAGGTATCATGTCGTGCTGTGGCATGTGTAAACTTGCTATGCTCAATATAAACACAAACGGAGAATCATTTACACAAATATTTGTGTGAAACCACAAATATTATAGGACAGAATGTACAAAAAAAACCCAGACAGGAATCCACAGTGTAAAAAAATAGATCAACAGCTTCCACATTGGCTGTTGCTTCATCAACATGTATCTTCATGCCAGCAAGACAGCAAGTATGTAAGAAATCTGTCAAAGTGATTCTTCATCGTTGCTGTTCTTCCAATAAATCCTGCAGTGTTCGATCTGTTGACTTCACCACTAACCTCAGCTTGCAGTCACTTCAGACTTGCATGACTCACATGACGACAAACACCTTTTTATGTTTTTATTTTCACCACATGAAGCGATGGCTGTGAGGTGATGTGGAGCGCCATTTTTCAAATCAGTCTGCTGGCATTGATCGTTGAAGCATTTCTGTGTTACTTTTGGCACATCTGATTAAAAAGTCTGAGCTTCTATCTGTCTCTCTGTGTTCATATATTCTCACACGGGCCACAGTGCTGCTCTCCTGGTGTGATCTATAACATTAATTCATCAGCAGCTGTGTTTGTCTGGACACAGGGTGCTAGGTGATATTAGCTGTGACTGATCAACACCACATGTGGATCCCAACCCTGGAGATTTACTACCAGAGCAGAGTCGCACCAAAGATCAACCCTCAGATTTCTGTATTTCCCTGGATCCTGGCTGTAAAAGTGCAAAACTCTGAGTAAAGCATTAAAACTAAACTCTAGTGTCACTTGCATTCAGGAGAATCAAGAAAAAAAAATGCAACCAAGACAGTTTCTACACAGGAGAAGACACTCGTGTACAAACCAAAGAAGCTTGAAGCCTAAGACCAAACCTTTAACTTCTTCCCCTCTGTGGTTGATCTTGCTGGCAGCGCTCCAGTAATGTGCTGCCGTCCCCGATGTCCTCAGTGAGTAATCATCAGTCACCACAATAGATCCAACGACACTAATTTGTCTCTTTCCTGTTTTGCCTTTACGTTTTTCCAGAGTAGACTCTGATTCATGCCTTCCTAACTGGCTCTCAGCACCTACCACCTCGACAGGGCTCTCTGCGCTCCCATGCTGCTGGGATGCAACCATTTCAGAGGGAGCGCGCTGAGGAAAAGACGGATTGCTTCCTCTCTTCAGATTCCTTGGGGTTGCGCGGACAGAGAGGGTAAAGCTTCACTGGAATTCCCCATAAAGGGTTCCTCCTCTGTGCAGTTACAGAGAAAAGATGCAGTAACGGTGAAGAGGTTCGTTCTCTGGACTGTGATTGTATTAGATTAAGTTTTATACCTAAAAAATGCCAAAAATTGCGGCCTTGCTGATCCACACACTAAGCTTGCAGTGATCAATTTACAACTTGTGCACATTGGGATACTTTAAGATTCATTTTCAAAGGTTTGGAGGTATCTGTCTGCTTCTAACTGGATTAAGGTTTTTCTAGGAACTCCACAGAACAGGCAGTCAATACTTTTCATAGCAACTACTTTTATATTAGACAGAGAACCTGAATCTGTTGCAAAAACATTTTTCTAACTAATCCAGATTCAACAAACTGTCTTACATGCACACGTTTTGTCTAAATTGCTTGTTTCAACCTAATGAATGCAAGCTGTTTGCAAGCAGGTATAGTTTTGTGAAATGTCTTCATTAGCATCATCAGTGCACCTACAAATGACAATTAAAATGCAAATTAAATCATTCTTCTGTTCATTTCTGGGCCATTTTCTGTCATAAAAATGTTAAATAGTGAAAAGAACAAGTTCAGACTTTGCAGCTTTTGATCCTGCAGAATGAGAAAATCACCAAAAAGTCACAAATAAGTCTTAAATCACTTGCACAGAAAAAAATCTGTTTGTACGAATGTTTTTTACCTGAACGGTTCTATAAACGCTCTGAGCTCCACCGCAGAAATGTCAGAGATATAAATTTCTAAACCAGCATGAATAAAAATATAACAAGGGCCTGCTGCAGGACATTTAAAAGGTTAAGAAAATATGTAATTGAGTGAAAACACTTAAACGAGCAAATGGACCCGCCAATTTTTGATTAGTTCATATTTTGCTTGGAACGTCCGATATTGAACAGCCGCTCGCACGACTCACAGAGCTCACAGCTATAATCCCAAATATTTCAAAACGTGCCAGTTGTAGCTCCATCAGAATATTTTCTCTGCATTTTAAATGAAGGCGCCGTCAAAAGGCTTGTACGTGCTACGTTGAAGGCAAAATACAAGAGCCACACCTATGTAAAAATAAATTTAATTTCAAAGTAGACACCAACATGTAATGAAAAAAAACAAACAAAATAGAGTCCCGCCGATGTGTCCCGCTGCATTCGACTTGACAACAGCAGCTCGGGGAGGTCGGAGCGGTCCGTCCTTATTTACTCCTGCAGCGGCTCAGCTGTGTGTTCGAGAGCAAAACCTTCCCAGAAACATCTTGAGGATTTAAAAATTATCTAATTTCATCTTAAAGAGCTATGCAGAGGAGTTTATCTCACCAGTGTCTGACCCAAACGGTGATAAGATGATGGGCACTGAAGTGTCTCCAGATCCAGCCGCCATTTTTTTTTTTTTTTTGGATCATCCAGGCAACACACACGTGGAATTAAAGCTGATGATAAACAAAATCTTTGTAAGCTACGACCGATAAATGAGCCTAATTTAAAGTAAAGCATTATTGATGTTATGTGCTTTTAACAGCAATACAGTTTCAGAGGAAGAAAACCCTTTTTGTTGACATTTTTGGTCACAGTTTACGACTTATAGTGACCACAAGTGACCACTATTATCCAAAGTGCTGCATAATAAAAACCATCAGTCATCCAGAGTTGGTATCGATTTCCATCTGAGGTCGGTCATCATGTCATTACAGAGTCGGTTTTTAAACATCCCTCAATGACATTTAATAGCGAGGCGGCAGGATGCAAACACTGGACCTGTTGTATCCGCTGGAGACACAAAAAAGGTTTTTTTTATGCCAATCGTCCCATCTCCCTCTGGGTAAACTGACCAATCAGGCAAAGTCAGAGAAGCTCTTTAAGACCGCTGTGCTGCTGCTGCTGCTGCTGCTGAGATGCTTCAAGTCTCTAGGAATGACTGCTGGGGGGTGTTTCCCCCCGACATCTGCTCTGAAGAGAAGATCCCATCAAACGCTTTCATCGTCTGCTTATTTGTCTGCTCGTGTGCATTTTCACACAGTCTCGCCTGAACTTTACCTGAAAGCAAAGAAGGAAATTACCATCAGTGCCCATTCAGACACTGTCATCAACACACGGGAAAAATCTTCCTCCTGAATTTCTTAAGAGTACACAAATAGATTCGGTGCAATTGTCTGTCTCGAACGAATAAAGAAAACACAGCCTTCCTTTAAAGGATATATCCACGCACTGAATGATATGGCACTTATAAATAAACTAAATCCCAACAGAGAGATCAGAGCACCAACATGGCCTTCCTCCAAACTCACTGGGATGCAGGCAACTCGATCCGACCCACAGAGTCAAGTTAAGCTGAGCACAGATATTTCTTAAAACACAGTCGTCAATACAACATAGAAAAGGCCATATATATGTATTAATAACTGTTAAATTACTAGCTGCTATCTTTAAATTCAGGTTTACATTAATGTAATAATGCTGAAATACAGAATAGACACTGCTCACGAGGCCTGCACAGCTTGAAAATAATATGAAATGATTGTTAATGTAGCGCTGAGTTCACTGGGATTTTTTTAAATAATGGCCCCATTTGTAAATTCTTTACTTGAGTAATTCATCAGTGCATGTGTGTTAAAGGTTTTATTTTTAAAAAAAGAGGGAAAAAATATTGCATTTTTTCCTATTTTAATAAATAAAACTGAATTTCTTTCTTAAAGAATAAAGCATTTAACTAAAGTCTCAGCCAAAATTTAGAAATTTGCAAGGCACACATTTCCATCCAGGCTTTCTGCAGGAGGAATGATGCAGCAATAACAGGCTTGGATGTTGAAACTGTGCTGCAAGTTGCTCTGCAGCAGGAGCTGGTGGATTTGTAGAAGAAATATCTAAAACTATATATTTGCCTTTACAACTCTGACATTGTTTTCTGGGTGCTGTGTGCTTGTGTGATGGAATCCCTGAATAGTAATATATATATTTTACCCCTTTTCGTTGGTTGCTCAGGCAGAATGTGCAGATAGTCCGGGGCTGCTTGCCTTCTCCACTCCCTTTCACCTCCTTGTAGACTGCGCTCAGACACGGCTGTCCGTCCTCCCTGCCGTCCCCGACCACCAGCACGTTGGCCAAGTGGGAGATGTAGCTGGACGCGAGGCGCAGCGTCTCGATTTTGGAGAGTTTTCTGTCCACCGGCTCCGTGGGGATGAGCGTCCGCAGCGCCGTGAAGGCCGTGTTCACGTTCTGAGTCCGGTGTCTCTCCCTGGCGTTGGCGGCGTTGCGCTGGCGGATCACCACGCCGCCGGACTCCCGCCGGTAACTCTCCCCCGTCGCCCCGCAGCAGCCGTAGCTCTGGTCGGTGCTGCCGTCGCTCTCGCTGCGGTTCCCCTCCTCGTCGTCCGACATCAAGGTCAGGTCCGCGGGGTAGGAGAACGGATGCGTGGACACCGGCCTCAGCATAGCGAAAGCCATCATAGGTAGGCGACACAAGTCACAGGGGAAGCAGTCCTGTTTGTTTATTTCAAGTAGGAGAGCAGCTGCATGCGGTGGAGAACCGTGCGTAAAAGTGGCTGTAGCTCCACGGTGTAGCCAGCACAAGTCCGCGCTCTGTTTTGACACTTCCTCATAGGAGGGTCCAGTGTGGGAGTCATCATGACACGGAGGGTCTCTTATATCAGCCACAGTAGCCCTCAGCTGTGAGGGGAGGAGTGCAGCAGATGCCGGGACTCCTCTTTTCCCAAATGTTTTGGTCCTAAAAGTCTGGCGTGGTGAGGTGTGCACTTAAAATGAGTGCGCCATTAGCTTTACGAGTAGAGTTATAAATAATCAATACTGACAGACAATCATTTCTGCGTTTTTAAGAAACATGTTGCACAAAAACATGGCAAACATTGACTTTGGGTTGATGGTTGATGGGTGGACTGAAACCAGAAAGCCACATTTATCTCAGGTCTTCATCTCAGTGTTGCTGCTGCTGCACCACATTTCAGAGAGAATGTTCATCTGGCAGCTGTAGATTCACTGCAGATTATGATTGAAATGGAAAATATGAAGCATGACTGTAGGTGAAACTGCTAAACAGCTAAAAAAAATTAAGCCTTGACAGCTCATGTTCTGCAGGAGTCCTTCTTACAGCACGTTTTGCTGTAAACACATATTTTTACTTGAGCCCAGTCCGTTAACCGGTCTCTGTGTATTTCTGTTGTGCAGTAGTGTGAATTTTAACCTGTCAAATATCTGAGAAACACCCTAAAATGTGGTGCACAAACTACACCCTCCAACATGAAGTTAAATGAACAAGTCTGAGCATTTTGACCTTGAAGAAGCAAAGATTTGGTTCAGTATCAGGCTGGGTGCTTCCAGTCATTAGTCTCAGCCAGCTCATATTAAACAGTGTTAATGACTCCAGTATTGGCATTGTGTCCATGTTTATTTTGGTATAATTAGAGCATTTCTCTATTGTAATATTGCTGCATTAGCAAAGAATCTGACCATGTATTTGTGCTATATGCCCTGTACAGTGTCACGGTTCTTAGAGTGACGTGTTCTCTTGTGGTGAGGAGTTTCTCCGACTGCCTCATTCAAATTATTTCAAATCCTTTTACACACTTAAGAAGAAGAACATGAGCAGAGTCTGTGGTCTTCAGTTTCAAATGTAAGACTTTCAAATGAACTTAAATAATGTTGTTAACAGGACGAGGTAAAGAAGGACTCCCCAATGTGTGATTATCACCTGATTCTCACCTCCTGTCATGAGCTGCATCACCTGGACACTTGAACCATCGACCATACTGTGATTTTCAGCCTTCTGATGTTTTTCACTATCTTAGCTGATGTGACCATAAAGTTCTACATGCATATTAAAAATCTGTAGATATGTGGTTCAAATGGCTCAAACGGTTCTGCACTTGCTATATTGTTCCTACACTCTTCATCACCGTCATCAAAACATCAAATGAGAAAATATCTTTTTCTAATAACAGCCTTCAAACCTCCTCACTGTCGCTGCAGATTCAGATCTTCCTGAAACTGACCTGTTTTTGGTGACATATGGTGTAGACGCCATACGGCTTTCGTGACTTGTGGCCTCGTGCCTCACAGACATCTCATGTAGGTCAGCACTTTGGAATTTCCTCTCAAATTCTGTTTCACTTACTCCAGAGTTTCTTCACCTTTTTCTAATCTGGTTCAAGGCGTCAGAATTTCCGTGACTCCAACAGATGAGGGAGGTTTTTAAATGAAGTCAACTGTGAAGAGTTTTCAAGTATTTTGACTGAAGATCGTTGATCAGATGCAAACACTGATTACTGATCACAGACAGATAGATAGATAGATAGATAGATAGATAGATAGATAGATAGATAGATAGATAGATAGATAGATAGATAGATAGATAGATAGATAGATAGATATTATAATGCAAAATCATGCTACTGAAGAAGACCAAAAAGTTGAGGTGCAAGAAAAAACAATGGTGCTGGTACAATAAAAAGAAGCACTGAAAAGTCTAAATGCAGTGCAGCAATAGAAATGTTCATAACAATAAGCAGTAGATGGGATGCTTGGGTCCTGGTGGACTCATGATTATTGCTCAGTTGAAGAGATGCATTCATGCATATCCACAATTTCTGAATTGTAGCAGCACAGCTGGCCCGTGGCTGGCTCCTGTCCTCAGAGGACCAACGTGACCGGTGGCTCTACAGTTGCCCCCTCTCAGTTTGTCTAATGGGTTAAGTGCTGTGGGTAAATAAACACTCAGCAGATGCTGGAGGTGATCAAGCCTGAACTTTTCCTGGTGGAAACCGAGCAAATGGCTTCCAGATTGACCGGCGCTGCTGGAGAGGGGAGAGAGTGTCATCAAAGGGGGCTGTTTTAACAAACACAACCCCTCCACACATCAACCAGCGGCCCCTAACCCGCCCCCCGACTCCTCCGGCTCAGCTGCACCAACAACACTGTGACCTGTGTGCAACCTGGTCCCGCTCATAAAGCAGGACACCATGGTGTTTTACCATCGCCCGGCCAGCCAGCAACACGACCCCACTGCACTTTCTCTCCCACAACACCAGCACCGCTTCACAGTTTGGAACCGTAAATTCTTCACCCGCCTCACCCACCCAGCCCCTCACCCCCTGCATCAACTTAAAGGAATGCCATTAAATGCCTGTTGAGGTGATTAAAGTCCTAATGAAGTGTGTGGTGGGTGGCATGTGTGTCGGAGAAGATGTGAAAATGGTCCTCAACAGCTCAGTAACAAACTGTCACCATATTATGAGGTAAATTATTGAAGTCTTCTAAAGCAGCCGCCTCTGATCTCAGCCTGGACATGAGGGTTAAAGCTGCACTTATCCCATTATATCACTATGTTACCATGTTCATATGAATTACTATAATACAGTCTTTACTTAGCCCAGCCATGTGAAGCTTTTAAGCCTATTTTAGCTTTTTGTTTTGGTTTTACAGCCTCTTTTTGCTCTTGTTCCATCTCACAGCTTGTTTTCAGCAGGCAGCTGTTTTGTGAACATAACCGCCCGGCGCAGCAGCAACCAGCTGACAGACAGTTAGCACCATCACCTAATGGCTAAAGAGCCAGATGATAGAAACAACAGTAAAACAAACAAACAAATAAAACATGCCTGCATACTAAATGTGAAAGTAGTTTGCTTGCTGACAGTTTTTCAGGGTTGAAGATGAGCTTGTTCCAGATGTTTTCTCCTCCCAAGACGCCAAAAAAAGTAATTAATAGACCCCATCATTATTCCCCAGCAGGCTAATCCCTGGTGGATCTAATACCTTAATGATTGCTCCACTCCACTTAGATACGCTGCTTCTAGAGCTGTGGCACCACAACCTAAATGGACAGAAAGTGTGATTCATGTAACTGTTACACAGGTGCTGTTCCTGCTGTTATCAATCATAATGCAGCTTTAAAGGAAGTTTTGCATGACAACAACTTCATCAACTCACTTCTGATTTCTAGTTTTAACCAAACTGTACTGGGAGCAGAACTTGCTTATAAAATGTTTTTGAAAAAAGAGGTTATTCTCCATCAAAGAGGCGCCTGGGACACGTGAGTGTTTATGATCTTGTGCAGTCTTTACCTGGTGGATCCTGCTGGACAGACAGTGCAGTAATGCAGCATGCCAGAGTTAGAATTATTCACAGATATTTTTGCAACTACACTTTGAAAAGATCACTGTACAGTAACCGACAGAAAGGCGTGTTTTGTTGAATGCATTTATGTGCAGCTTGTCTTACCAAAAAACGAAACAAAAAGACTACAACCACCAAAACAACAACCAATACAAGGAAACACTATTCATATAAAAATATAAAGACAGTGCATGTTTTCCAGCATCATGCAGCAGCCCCCTCGCTGCACAGTGTGGAGTGACGAGACGATGAGGCCCGCCGGTCTGAATGCTGCGGTGTCTCCTGTGAGGGAATCTGCTGGGAAAGACTGCAGTCAGATAACTTGACTCATCGGAAACAGCTGCACTGGAGAGAAAAGAGCCTCCTCCTAACAGCCATTTGCAGTCTGCTGCAGAGGCCTTTTATTATGTACTTTAGTCTGCGTGTATTTATTAGATGGAACACGGCCGATTGACAGCAGAGAGAGAGCTGGTCGGGCGGACACATAGTCAGAATAGTTTTGTGTTTGATGGAGTCGACTGTTCATGAAAACAAGCTTCTCGTCTGTCTTTTTAAAGAACTACTGTGCAACTGGAACAGCTCCAAAAAAATAACTGTTGGCGCAAAGACCTCATGATCATAATGCTGCAGTGAATAAACCTGAATTTGCCAGAAACCACCTGTCACACAGGCCCACCACGTCCTCGTCTCTGTCCTGAGAGTCAGCTTCCACAGACAGACGCTGAACGAAGCCCAACGAAACGCTCTTCTGTGATGCGCTGATGTCAGGATGAATCACAGTCGGGATTTCTGAGTCATTACAGTCAAATGGAAAAACATACTTTTATTTATTGAAAAACAAAAGTTACTGCTTTAAGTCTTACAACAAAAACAAACAAACTGAAAAATAGATTGCTGATATTTTAGGAAATTTTTTGTTATCAACGTAATCAAAATACTAGTTTTATTCATTTCAAATATTTTTTAAGGTAAATTATTACCTGTGAATATCTCCTCATGGTCCGTGCTACCTACCTAAATATGCTAACCAGCTAAATAGCATCAGTTTTTCTCCAGATTCACAGACTCCACCTTTAACGTTTCTATTGACAAAGTGTGTCCCATTTGTACTGTGCATACTGTGATAATGATGTAAGAAAGTTTTCAGTTAAATGACTCAACCAAACCCTGAGATACAGAGATGAGCAGACTCTGTCTCATTGCTCTCCTGTACAGCTGCAAGAAGCCAAACTGTGAGAACACATTTGTATGTTTTCGACCAGAATAATGAGGAAATGTAAATTTACACGCAAATAGGCTGACATTAAATCAAAGATATTCTTTTCCCACCAGAACAACTGATCTTGCATAAGAATTTAGCTCTTTGTGCGCCCGTCCATCCACCCCACCACCTCCTGCTGACTCACTAAACATAACCGGGAAATCAGTTTAGTTATATAGGAACATAATTGTAAAGAGGTGGAGTTGGAATAGT